AGCAAGCTTACCATTACCACTAGCTACTTTTTTTTAACCCCGACGTGATTTGAACACGCAACCTTCTGATCTGTCCAAATTCTACACCGTAATTACAGCATTGCATGGTGAAACGCTTCGTCAAGTGTCCAACATCGCAAAAACTCCACGGGCAAATATGAAACGCAAAGGAATGAATTAATCTCGCGATTTGGTGTATCTTGTATCCAGAAACAACTAATAAAATTACTTACAGATTTTGATTTGTCTAACAAACGGCTAACCCAGCTACTACGGGAAATGAGAGAACATGTCTGAGGACGCTTTGTCAGCGTTTCGGCTGCAGCGTTGGCCAAGTAATATACGATATTTTTTATCAGCATGCAGTTTCAACAATGTCAACCACATCGCTGAATTGGCAGACAAAATAACTGCAATATGTAGTAGCTAAATTAAGTGAAATAACATTTAAGCTCAACCGTATAGCAAACTTATATGGCACGAACAGAGGTCCCAGTTCCAGCAGGGAGACGTTTAAGAGTCAACGTGATGTTTGTAAGGTGTGGTATTATTACATCAAATTTGGAGCGACAGCTACTGAATGGGTCAAGCCATGCGAATTTGGCGGTTAGGAAAACTAAAATCGTTGTCGTCTACAAGTGCGGTAAACATATAGTAGATATTATTTTAAATATCAATTTTCTAATCGACATCGGTTCAGCCGTATCAATCATTCCGTTAATAGCAATCTCAATAAGCCGCGATTTAATTCCAGTTGATCTGAAACTGTTTGCAGCAAACAATTCGCACATTAAAACGTACGATACCAAAAGACTTAGCCCTAATCTTGACTTGAGACCGTCACATAGCAGATGTCAAATCTCACATTCTGGAAGCAGATTTTTTAGCCAAATACGGCCTAATTCCAAATATTAAATCGAAGGGTTTGTTAGATTCTCTAACTGAATTGTCGTCAACTGGTGTAGTACAGACTACATTAACGCAGTCCGTGTATACATTAGATTCAAACTTCAAATTCTATGCTATCGTGAGCATTATTAGGACTTCCATAGATTTCGCCCCATTTTTAAAAACTAGAGTTACACATATCATACTTATTACTCTCAGAATCTTGGTAGTATTTGTGGCAGTCAAAACGAGACGAAAAACTTAGACAGATTTTAAGATCCTGCATATGACGAACTTCGATTATAAAATATCTATACTAACGTTGCTTATTTAGGATAGAGTAAGGCGTCTATCAGTTTGCAATGCAAACAGTTTAGAATAGAGGTGATTTGTAATTCTGTGTACTTACTCCAGAGTTTTTTATTAAATTATTTGCACTTACGAAGCACAAAATGTTGTGTGAGCTGTGCCAAGTTACTGTTATTTTGTTGTTGGTTGTTGAATTAACGTTACTGATGGTGGTATCGGTGGTGTTTCGTGGAGTTGGTGGTGCTGCAGAAGCTGCAGAAGTGAAAAATGCACATGTCAAATCCAAATAACATTTGAACTGTCCGTATTTGCAGTTTAACCCTCGCTGCACTCTTTTATTGTCTGGAGAACATGTTTGTGCAAAGTTGATGCTGAAATTCCCAGCAGGCGGTGCTCTTTACAAAGTGTCAGAACCAAAGTTAGAGCTATTGTTGACATGATTTAAGCCAACAGAAATAAACTACAATGACACCAAGAACGAGAACAAGAGCTATGGAATCAGAAGCAATTCTCAAGATGCTCGTATTGTAAATTCGTTGATTCTAGTGATTAAGCGTCGAACATTTTATTTGCATTAGGAATGCATAGTATTAAGGAAAGGGTTAGTACTGGGATCACATATCTATGTTTGCAAAGCCACTGGAAAGGCCAATCTTTCTATTACTATGTTTAATAATCTGTTGTATACACACTACGTAAAAAGGTTCTCTAAGCTCTTTGTATAAAATCCTGAAATTAATTGGTAATTGGTATTTAGCGTATTTCACGGCCTTTTGTAAAATAAACGTTACTTTAGTAAAATGTTGTCTAATAACAAGGAATAATTAAATCTACAGCTTTTAATTCGAATAACAATTTTATAACTGTTTATAACAGAAAGAAGAACGCAAAGATGGTCATAAGGGTAATATTATTTAAGAACAATATAATCGTCACTAAAAGGGATAATGTTATAAACAAATCCGGAAAGTGGATTAAGGGGAACAAAAGATTACATTTTACAACTTATTCTTGATGATTCTTGATTCTTGATATGAATATCCGCAAAAAGAAAACCCCACAGTCAACTGAAACCGAAATGAACTGAAACCGATAACTAAAAGAGAGATAAGCCTCTCATTAAGCTGTTCGTTACAACAACTGCAAGGTTGAAATTTGAAATTTTGCATTAGGTGAGGAAGTTTTAATTTGTCTGGCAGAGCAAAAGTTATCTGCCATTCTGAGTCACCTAAATTTAGGAAGAATCTTAAGTTCCCCTAAAGGAACTTTTCCAACACATTCACAATCAAAAACTGAGGACCCTGAAATAGTCAACAAGTTGATTAAAAGCCAGAAGATTATAATATTGCCTTAATATACAAGAAGCGATATAACCAAAAATGCAGGCACGATTTCAGGCAAAAAGGAAAAGTATTCCGATTATTCATTATTCATGCAACGTGCAATTCTAAGTGCATGTCGATATGAAATGTATTCAATTATGTGATCACCTATATATTTATTTTTTCCAGATTTCCAGGATGAGGACAGTAAACGGTAAATTGTGACATTTGTTACGGTTTCGGAGATTTCTTGCTTAAATTGTTTTGTATCGAAGAGACGCAAATGTTTCTTACACATATAATCATTTTACTGGAGTTTGACGTACTAACTAATTCAAGAAATGGGCCGCAATTATTGATCCGAACGTATTTAATCACTTACCTTCAAACCAATCAAACAAACCTTCAGCAATTTGTTGGCTTTCGGCCTACAAGTTGAAATCAATTTATCCAACAGAACTTACACTTTCAATCCTCAATAGAAGGCCACAGACAAGTCAACTTTGCCGATAATTAGTCTAATATCTGTAATGAATATCTGACCACTACAACTGTCACTGTCTGGTAATCTGAAAATGACAAATTTGTAGTCTATGAGGACGTGAATACCACGCTTTTCTTTAAACATGGGCTTAAAAGGGTTCACTGATAAAGTGCTTCTGAGTTTTTGTCATTCGTTTTGATTAAAGGCGATTGGCTTCAGTTATTATTTTCGAAAATAAATAAATCATATATATATATAAATCATAAATCATTGATCATGTCTTGAAATAGTATTCAGTATTCAGTAATCACCGCATGCTCTTCTTATAATCTTTCTATCTATCTTCCTGTCTATATAGATGGCAATGGCAAAAATTATGGTAGCGATCAGTCAGCGGAATATGGACGTTTGATTTAATTCCAAATATCGAAGGGAAATATTTAACTATATTTTTAGGAAAAGATCCTACTATTACAAATGTGTTGCAACATATTTGTAATAACAATCTTAAATAAGAAATCATTTTCACTCCCAAAAACAAACACTTTCAAGTGTAATGTAAAATATTTGTTTCAGAAACCTTTTTTTATTGAAAGACATGTCATTTGCTTCGTAACCTTCGATGCAATCCTGCTAAATACATTTTCAGTCAACAGAGGAGTTGATGGAAAGTTAAGAGGAATTCAATGGTGAGTTATCCAACATCCAGAAGACATTGACTATGCCGATAACATTATCTTGCTAGCGAAAAAGTGGAAACATTTGCAAGCCCAACAATGCACTCTCAAAAGCTGCAGAAGTTGGAGGCCCTTACGTTAACAGAAACAAAACAAAAGAATGTTTAATCAATATTGCACAAACAGCGTCGTTTACGCTACAAGCGGAAGGCGGTGCACAAGCGATGCTAACAGCAGAATACAGAAGGTAAGGGTGGATATTGAAAATCTTTGCGGTATCTGGAGGTCAAACACTTTCACCCGAACCGAAAAAAATATGTTTGTAATGCGTGCGTAAGTCTATGCTATTGTAAGGATCTGAAACCTACTTCTAATGATAGGGCAATTCTCTAATAGCGCGAGAACTACAAAGTTTTACGATTAAATACTTAAGAAATGTTCTACGAATCTGGTGGCTAAGGATTATTTGGAACGATGATTTGTTACAACTTACAGACCAAGAAAACATCAACACACAAATTAGAAGGTTTCTTCGTTGGTACATACCATACACTAAAAAAACCACATGACGAAACATGCTACGCTACTCTGTAATGGAAACCGCAGGTTACATGGAGGCACACTGTCTTTAACAAAACCCGCAAATCATTTGACGAACTTTAGTTTTACAGCTTTAGCCTTAGCTTTAAAAAAACAGGATTGGAGACTTCCTGACGGAATACGGTCCATAAATATTTATAACATGAGTTTTCAATAATTTTTGATTTTTCATTGTTGTTTATGTTACAGAAAATTATTTATATATTCCTTAATCCGCTAAATACCTTTCAAACAAAAAGATCGTGAACGGGTCTCTTAATTCCTTATTATGTTCTCACAATGTAGATTCATTATATTGTTTACAATTTACCATATTCTTATTTGATATTAGGTTTAACAGAATTATTATAATAATAATTCACGGTTTGGTTATGCATTACTCAAATGCTTCAACCATCTCAACAATACAAATAATATTTTAATATGAATTTAATGTAATGTTTACATTAAACATTACATTAATGATGATAATAATAGTTGAATAAAACTCTTAAATAGATTCGAATTTCACAAGTTTTACAGTAGAAGGAATTAAGTCAATGTGTAAATCTAAATATTATTCGCAGATATATTTGCAATGCATGTGGGGATAAATTTTACACTTTATAAGTATATATGTTATACTTCCTTTAAGATGATGTTCCCATGAGGTCCGTTTTCATAGCGTTTCTGTACAACTTCACGATTTCATAATCTTATATTAATTTTCTTTATCACTAATTTCACTTCATATCGTTGGAATTTGTTGAGGAGAAGAGACGCTATCGTTCAATTGAAAATGGTTCGCCGAAAATCAAAAAGGAAGCCACCACCAAAGCGCAAGTTGATTGAACCATTGCAAAAGTATTTCATGTGTCCATTTTGCAACAATCCAAAGTCTTGTACAGTTACAATGCAAGTACAAACCAGGACAAATGCTTATAATAATTGACTCAGAATTATTATTTTTTCTAGGAATAAAAAGCAAAAAGTGGCTGTAATTAAATGTCGATTTTGTGAGGTGGAATATCAGACCACGATTACCTATTTGTCTGATCCGATAGACGTTTACAATGAATGGATAGATGCTTGCGATGCCGTTAATTAAGAAGGACGTATCCCAATAATGCACATTATTTTAAAAAATGATATATGCTGAATAAATAAAAATTGAATGATATCCGAATTCTATTTCATTATTATACTATACTATACTATACTATACTATACTTATACTAATTTTATGAAATAGAGACAATACAAGTATTCGCCATTATTGAATCGAATTAAAATGCGATTTTTGATGTACGATGCAAGTTAAAGTGTTGTGTTGTCATAAACTCAATGGGCCACTAACCAAATCTCTTTGAATATCGGCAAACATAATGTGGGTTTATTGTATGTGGTCATTCAGTTCATTCAGTCCCGTGGCACAACGAAACGTTTACGATAACTTAATCTCTGCACTGCATTAGGATTAGTCTTAAATGCAATTGCTGCATGTGATTTTAGCTCATAACTTATATGATATCAGCAAGAATATTTTTCATGTATTACTCGTAATACGTCTTTGATGACCTTCGATAAATTTAGCAGGAGACTACAGTTATATCTTTAGCAATATATCAGCTATTTAAGAGAATAATGAGATTTACACAAAACAATTGTCCGTCAGGGATTAGTTCGTTTTGGACTATTTTAACTTTAGTTACTCCCACGATGAGAACGTAGAACCAACCACTTAAAAGAGTTAGTAACATTGACTTAAAATTCATGCAATTACTGTATTTTCAACTACTCCCGCTTCTGCTCATTTCTTTTTGTTTTGTTACTGGTGTTTGACTGGTTAGGGAAATGCGAGTATGAAATGTGGTGATTGAAGACTTATTAGGGAAGTAGTTAAGTAGTTAAGTGGAACACAGTAATGTATCATATGTTATATAAAACTCTTAGATTCAAGTTTATTTACTTGTGATATAATATAATAACGCCTACATTATTCACTTTTCAACTTTTATATATGTAGGATCAATCTAGGAAGGATAACTTACCGTTAATACTGGTCTTAAGTTAGTCCGACTTCCAACAGAAAAATCCAAGTCATTAATAGTCTTTTTGGATGATAAAATAATATGACAATAATATGTTTTTAAAGTTTCTATATATTTTACATACACTATTCTCTGTTGATTACTTAATATTAAGTTATATATATTAATACAAGCTATCGTAAAGTCATAAATTCTGAATAAATTTAATAAAGTTTATAGGCGATACCAGACTTCTTAGTGGAATTCACCAAGAAACAGACATAAGATTCAAATGCAAAACTTCAATTTACTTCAATTTAAGTAATTGTTTAAATTTTATATTTTATATTTTGCAGTGCATTTACAGTAAGTACACTTAGTATATATAGTACATGTACTATCAGAGAATTGGTGATTGTATCACAAAATTAAATAATGACATTTTCATTATAGGGAACCTGTCCAAGTCAATATTGGCCCAATAGAAGTAGCATATTTGATGCAGGTAGACCTCGTTAAGAAATTAAAACCGTATTGGATTTCCAGTGACTGTCTTAACAGAGTAGTGGGTATGTGACATCTCTGAAGCTCAGTGGTAGGGAAGTGATGTGGCAATAATGCCCGAAAAAAATTTGAATTTCAAGACAAACCTCCAAACTTCTTGGAAAATTATACATAAACAACACATATTTCTTGATTTTTTCTTCTTTTACGCAGTGTCTTTAAAGATAATATATCGTCTAAATAATAAAATACAATCTATTCAATATTTCATTTAAAAGATAGCGATAACAGATTATGATAGCATTTCATTCACAGATGTTTTATTGTGAAATATTATAAATTTGTTAACATTTTATATTTTTAAAATGTGAATTAATTTAATGTTGTAGTGAAAACTAAACTGTAAATTTGGTAAAAATCTGGAGTCGAATATATTTGTTCTATATTTTCAGCAATTTTTCAGCAATCAACATATATACGAGTATAACGAATATTATTATTATAGTATCTTTTTTTTGTCTTATTACATTTAGTTCATCTCCATTATCTTTCACCTGTTTTAAAAGAATTCAAAAAAAATTTTGAAATTAATTGACGGTAGTCCATTTAATATTTATAACAGAATCTTACTTTTATGAATTCTTTTCTTCGTCCACCTGATCGACAAATTCACAATACACATCTATTGGATCGGATATATTAGTAATCCGAGTGTTGTAAGATTCGTGACACATGTCACATTTGGCAACAGCATATGATTCTTTCCTTACCCTGGAAATGTGAGAAGAAACATTATAGGTAAGCCTATAATTGGATACATTTCGTTTCGACATATACTCACATTTCGACGTAACATGTGTTTTGTCCATCGCACACTGGGCAATCGAACCATTTTTGCCTTTTATTTGAAATTTTCCCCGACATATTTGTTCGCTTGCGTTGAGGCATCTTTCTTCATATAACACAACACTTCACTTCCGAAAGAGTGAAGTAGGCTGCCAAATAGTTAATGTATAGTTGCAAGGAAACAAATTGGAACGAAATAAGGTGCAGTGAAACATTTCTGAATGTATACAAAGTGATGTCCTATATACAAGACATTGATTAACTACGTTGGTAAGGGAGAAGTTTTTTACATACTGACTTCATGGTTCACCCATGGTCATCATGTAAGGAGTACAATTCTAAGGTGCATCTGTTTATGTTTATGCTGATCGTTACATACTAGCGTTAACTTCTTGACTTTTTTGATTATGCAGTTTTTGTTTATATAAGGACGCATTTTTATTTAATTAACCCGCCGTCCGGCGCATGGGGTGAAAAAAGAGGTAATTCACCACTGACAAAAAATTAGCTGCTGTATTTTTATGTAGCTTCATAAAACTCTGTACTAAACTCATTCCATTGGGTTTTATTCAGTTTACGATCAGCGGTTATGAATTACAGGTGTTTTTTGTTTTGTTGGGTGCTTTATGACCCCACGCGACTGTTTATGTTACAAAATTTTTTTGCAAAGAAATGAATCCAATACTAGAAGCTCGTATTTTGAGATGGCTAAATGAGGACTGTGACATTGAAATAATAGACAACTCTGATAGAAGTAGCGGTAAAAAGAATTTTTATTTTGATTTTGATAAAGTGATTTGTTAGACATAACATATATATTTTTTTTATAGAAAGTGACACTGAAATTGATCAGGTTGAAATTTGTGAACATAATTCCGAATCAGAACAAGAATGTGATTCTAATACAACAGAAAATATAATACCAAGTAGTGATGATGACATTCCTCTTTCACAGCTGTATAACTCTAGAATTAAATACTACAGATCAAACAAAATAGTGAAATAAATCATTTGTTTATAAGTGGAATAAAGATCCCCCACATAAAGCTGTTCGAACACGTCAATGCAACATTATATCTCATCTCCAGGGCCTAAAGCAACATGTAATAATAAAGCTAAAACTATCTTTGAAACATGGAATCTCATATTTTCTAATGATTGGATACACAATATTGTTAATTTCACGAATCAACAAATTAAAATGGTCTCACATGGCTATAAGAGGAGTCGTGGTGCGAGTGAAACTAACACTATCGAAATGAAAGCTTTAATTGGCATACTCTATATTTGGACTACATAAATCTTCACACAATATAGAAAATACACAAAAATATGTGTTGGGTGCAAAAAAGCTTGGGCAGACCCAAGACACAGCGAAACAATTTGCAAAGATTGCGCAAATTAAAAACATGCAATTTCGAGCTGTAAAATTTTTTATTTAACTATCGATCATCTTACTTTTTTCTTTTATTACAGTTTTTTGACTTATTAGTAATTAAAACTTCATTAAAATAAAAAAGAAAATTACGCGACGGACTGTCTTACTAAAACGTTACGCACCGGACGGCGGGTTAATATGACGCACCAATTATGGTTTCACTACTCTGTATGAATTTCCAAGCAAACACGGATAATATAAAAAGCGTTTGGAACAATAAAATTGGGACGAAATCGAAATCGAAGGCGAACACTATTGAACATTATCTCTTTTACAACAATAGAAAAACTTATCCCCCTGTGACACTCGTAGAGAAATTTTTTAAAATAACTTAAACATGGATGTGGATGATTAAGACCAATTAAATTTTGAAATTGATTTTAAAATATTTAGAGTTGTATGTTAAGTCTATTATTATACTCGTAATAAATAAATAACATACATAGGAAGTGGGTGCGCAAATTAAATAGAAATGGAAATTGTTTCTTCTTTTTCTAGGTGACGCGTAACTACGATTTATATCATCTGTAATCACTCAATGTGCCATCCCATCAAATTTTCATAATAAAGTTCTTATTAAAATAATTCAACATTACAAAAATGATTTGAACAATATCAATATTAGCCCAAATGTAAAATTTTCTTTGTATGCCTCCAAACTATTATTTATATAGCATATATCTTATTCAATTAACACATATATTTGCAGGCCAAGAAAACATCAACACACAAATTAGAAGGTTTCTTCGTTGGTACATACCATACACTAAAAAAACCACATGACGAAACATGCTACGCTACTCTGTAATGGAAACCGCAGGTTACATGGAGGCACACTGTCTTTAACAAAACCCGCATATCATTTGACGAACTTTAGTTTTACAGCTTTAGCCTTAGCTTTAAAAAAACAGGATTGGAGACTTCCTGACGGTATACGGCCCATAAATATTTATAACATGAGTTTTCAATAATTTTTGATTTTTCATTGTTGTTTATGTTACAGAAAATTATTTATATATTCCTTAATCCGCTAAATACCTTTCAAACAAAAAGATCGTGAACGGGTCTCTTAATTCCTTATTATGTTCTCACAATGTAGATTCATTATATTGTTTACAATTTACCATATTCTTATTTGATATTAGGTTTAACAGAATTATTATAATAATAATTCACGGTTTGGTTATGCATTACTCAAATGCTTCAACCATCTCAACAATACAAATAATATTTTAATATGAATTTAATGTAATGTTTACATTAAACATTACATTAATGATGATAATAATAATTGAATAAAACTCTTAAATAGATTCGAATTTCACAAGTTTTATAGTAGAAGGAGTTAGGTCAATT